TTGAAGTTAGTATGCAAAGCTTTTGTGCCTAGTAAACCCACAACTGCCTTTAAGCCCTGGACTGGAGTGCTGCTGCCTCTAAAATGGAATTGAACCAGATAATCACATCTCTTTTGAGTGTACTTACTTTCTATAAAGTTAAAAGCAAAATTGATTTAAGACTTTTTTAAAGCAATTTAAAATTGTTTAAAAATAGTTGTACTTATTCCCATGACAGATAATTAAGGCATCGTTGTATGTTAAAATCTTTGTTTTCTCTAGTTTTATCAGGTTACAAATTTAATATTTGTGAAAATGTATATTCATTTTCTAAAGTCACAGATGCTACAGATAATTCATAAATTGAAGCTGGGGATCATAAGGATTACTGGAAATATTGTTAGAGCGAGGGATAAAAATTTAATTATTGAAGAGTGGCATGTTTTTAGGTTAATTATGTTTCTTTTATCAAAGGTATTATACAGTGTTATAGACAGACCAAAATAAAATACTAATTTATATGAATATGATTTATGTTTCAAGCATGGAAACAAAATCTGTAATACTTAACTGACAGAAAATGGTTTTGTATTTAAAAGGTGGGTTGTATGGTAATCATGCTGATAATGCTCTGCTGGCAGGACTTTCATGTGAGAAAGAATAGTGCTAGCCAGGTTAACTTATTTGTACGATCTTGACCATGTAGCGTTACTTTCACAAGAACTTCCAGATTGGAGACCACACACCTGTCTGCAAATAGCTCTTCCTAAATCTGTGCTCTGGTCATGGGAGAGTGGGTAGAGTACACCTGGATTGGTGCAGATTTACAACCAGAGAAATGTGTCCAGATGAGTAGATTCATCTATGAAGTATTCCTACATCAGACAATAGCATTTACGTTAAGAAGATCGAGAAAAACACCTCACTTACAGTCCATTACAGAGGAAAATATAAATCATCATTTAAAGCCAGTAGAAGTGTCAGCAGGCTTTGAAAGATGAATTCTGTCATGCAACACACATTTGTGATAAGCACAATAAACATTAAAAAGTAGCTTATGAGAAATTTAGAACTAGCTGCCTCGAACTAGCTTCCTTTTTTTATCCGAAAGAGCCAGTAATCCTAATGACTGTGAGTTGTTCTGTTTTTAGGTTTTCTGATCCGCAGACAGAACAGTTTCCCTATGATATTTGTGACATTCTATATCTTTCCAAAAATTTTATCACAGCACTTATTTTTTAGGAATTTGTTGTTAAAATTAAATATCCAAAATCAAATAATCTTAGTTTCAATTTAACTGCTTGGTTCATAGTAGGGGCTCAATAGTTTTGAATGGAGTCATTCATATGAGACTATTAAAAATGATACAAATGTCTACCAAGTGGTTGGTTTAAAATCAGTTTTTGTATTACACTTCTTAAAATTTATAAAAAATAACAGCAAGGAGCAGGAAATGCCCTTCTATTTCTGAGGTGAGGCTACATATGGCTGATATAATGCAGTGTGTTGTGTGGCTTTTGAGAGTTTTCTTATAAGCTTTATACTCCCCAGACATTTCGTGTGAAGAATGGCATGTATTAAAGAGGATTACCAGGGCAAGGGAATAGTTCCTACAGCACAGTATGACATTGCTCATGAACTATTTTATTTGTTCTAAACCGCCACTTCTGATTATCACCTACTAGTGTCCATCACCTAAGAAATACTTAGATCGGTGATCACGTAAGTTTAGTTTTTTCCAGCTAAAACATATACAGAATAATACTGATGCATGGTACTTTACAACTTTCATGACAAATTCTAAAATAATACAGTAGCCCCACGTTTTAAGTACAAGAGGGACTGTTATCCCTGTTTTGCACATTGGGAAACTGAGGCTCTGTTGGTAAGTGATCTGGCCAAGGCCACACAGCCAGTAAGTGGCTGGCCTGGCTCCGCAGCTCAGCTCATTCTCACCCCACTGACTGTGCTACTTCCCAGAAAAGCAAAGTAGAGCTCGTAAGTGAAATAGAAAGTATTTTTAAAAGTAGCCTAATGTTTATATACAATTATTTTAAAACTTTCGTTGAATATCTGAAACTAACTTCAGAAGAAATCGTCGTCTAATTTCAAACACCTGATCATCATTTTAAGAAACCTGCAATAGCTCATAAACTGCCATGCTCAGTGACATACCATACTAGCTGTTCTGTGGTAGTATCGGAAACCTGTGGGTATCATTTCAGTGACAGGACAAGATTAAAAATCTACTTGCATTTAATACATGTTAAAGGAACCTAAGTAATAACTGTGCAGATTATAATTAAAATAGATTTAAGCCTTTTATTCTCAAATCACATAACAACAAATAAATGCCATCTACATTACTGAAATTGATCCTTAAAATTCTGAACCAAAATGTAGAGGGTCACTGTATTATTTTGACAACCAGAACAGTTAATAAAAGTACTTGTTAGGGTTGAGTGATGAAGAATACAGGGATTCTTTTTTTTTAAGGTTTTTTATTTATTTATTTGACAGAGAGACATAGCGAGAGAGGGAACACAAGCAGGGGGAGTGGGAGAGGGAGAAGCAGCAGGCTTCCCGCTGAGCAGCGAGCCCGATGCGGGGCTCCATCCTAGGACCCTGGGACCGTGACCTGAGCTGAAGGCAGATGCTTAACGACTGAGCCACCCAGGTGTCCCAAGAATACAGGGATTCTTAACCAGGAGTCTATAGATGGGGGTCTTTGAGCCCCTGAAATGGTATGATATATACATATAAAATCTGTGGATCATGTTTGACAAGAAGGAAACATGAATCCTGTTAGATGTAGTTTTTATTTTTATTTTTTTTTTTTTAGAAGGGGGATGGGGCAGAGGGAGACAGAGAGAAATCTTAAGCAGGCTCCACCCTCAGGGCAGAGCCTGACACAGGGCTCAATCTCAGGAACCTGAGATCATGACCTTAGCCGAAATCAAGAGTTGGACGCTTCAGTGACTGAGCCACCCAGGCACCCCTAGATACAGTTTTTTAAACTACAATTTAAAATTTGGGGAGGAATTTCTTAATAGCTTTAGAGATGGTGTATTTGGGGAATAATGGTGTTCTAGATTGTAATGACAACTTATATGTCTGTTAGGAATATGGACTAAAAATTACCAATTTATAGCTCACATGTGCCATGTGCCAGATACTGTTATAGGTATGGTTCTCAGAGCTGCTTAGTGTATTTTCTCATTATCTCATTTAATCAGTACAGCAACCCCGTGAGGTGGGTTTTATGATGATCCTCATTTCACAGATGAGAAACCAAGGTACAGAGAGGTTAGGTGACTTGCGCAGGGTCACATATTTAATAAATGGCAGAGCTGAGACTCAAATCTAGTCTAATACAAAAAGTAGTATTCTGAAATCATTATTCTGTACTACTTAGAACATGTTTTGAAAAGTCCCAACACTACATAGATATATCAGTAATGCCTGATCAGAAGAGAGCAGTGTGGTCTTCAGGTGGAAATAAGCTTGTATAATTTTGAAATGTCTTTCAACCAGCAATAACATGGATTTGTTTAACAGAGAAAACATACAAAGTTAAATCTGTATTTATTGAGAAATCGGTTTTCAGCTTATTAGGGTGAAACTGTTTTATTTCTGAGAGAAACACAACTTTTTGCTGGTACCACGTACCCAGACCCTATAATATTAGGCCTTTCTTAATGCTGAGTATTTGAAGAGAACACTGACCTTTTTTGGTTTAAGTGATGAAAAAACAATGTTGTTAAGGAGTCAGTTGGTTTTGAGAAAGGATAATAGTATAGTACTCTAAGCAAGACACTTTGTTCATGTGATGTAGCTGTTCATTTTTTAAAATAGGTTTTTTAACAGTAATTGTAATAATTTTACCCACTTGCATGATAAATTATCTTTTGTTATGCAACGGGTTTTTTTTTTCTTTCCATTTAGTGGTTAAGAATTTTTTAATTTATAAAAAACTGGATAAAAAGAAGACAGTAATTGTAGTGGCAAACACTTGTGAATGAGTTCCTTTACATGAATGTCTTTGAGTTTTCTATTTTCCTTAAACAAAACAAGATAATTACATATAGCCATCTCAGATGACTGTAATTTGGAGAAATGTTTGTAGCATTGCAGTTGGATTGTCTGTTCAGTAGATGATACCAGTTGTTTTTGTTTCTTAAGCCTATTCGTGGCATGAAGAATGTTAAATAGAAACATCTCTATGTGTAAGACAAGTACCCAGTTCTAAATGGAAAACCCCAAGATCTCAGTATGAAAATGCAAGATGAAGCTAAGATGGTTCGATAAGTCAATATGAGATCTGTTGCCATTGTGTAGTTTTAAATTTTTTAAAGCATTTGTAAGAAGGTTAGTAGGAAATTCAATCATGAGAACCTTAGAGGAAAGGTGATTTAGTGGGCAGCCTCCCCCAGCTCCCTTCGGCTGCTCCTTTTGCCATTCCCTGTCCTGGGAATAAAAAATCAGAAAGGTTGCCCATATATGAAGAAATTCTCCTTTAACAAAATGTGTCACAGTTAAGGGCTCCTTATTCCAGGAAAGTCAAGCAGGAAAGCCTGATTCATGACTAGCAAATAGTCTTCAAAGCCAGTCCAACATTTTAACTTGCTGATGGCATGGATTTCTTAAGAATTGAATAAATAGCAAGTGTTCTAAGCCTCCACCCCTCATTAAACACAACTTTTAAACTCATCTCGGCACATCACTGGAGGTGCAGTACGGCGGCTGTGTAAGGAACGTGCGTGTGGTGTGCGTATGTTTGGAAACGAAGAGCCGTACTGAAATTACAAAGTGACTCAAGTAGAATTTAGTGACCCAAATTGGAATTTGGCTAGGATTCATGAGGGATTATTATTCTCGCTACACTTTGACAATGTGCTTTTTTAACAAAGTGCAGGTGCTCACACTTGGCTGGTGATTAGACTCACAGCTTGAGAAACAGGAATGAGTATTACCCCAAACGTTTACATAGGGTGTTAAATAAAAACTACTAAGGTAAGAAGTTCAATGCTTTACATAGATAGTAAACTATGCATATTATTTTATTTATAACCCCATGTGTTAAGATGGGACACTGTTAAAGTAACAATCACTTAAAAACAACAACCAACAAACCAGTTATTTAATTTGGTACTTAAGAGTAATAATTAAAAATCAAATGGAAGCAACGCCTAAAGTAACTAATTCACAATAAAAACCATTAATTCAGGCTCTACTTACTGGAAATAAGATTATTCAACATGGGCTAACCTAAAATGTATCTGTAGAAACAGAATAAGGGTACAAGTTAGCAAAGTATTAGAAATAAGACTTCAGGGAGCCCCTAAAATTATTTTTAAGAATTTCAGAACTGATTATATGCAAAAAAAAAAAAAGTAACTGTACGTTAAGTTCATTCATACATGACCTTATTTGAAGCAATGTATTTGCATTGACTAGCAAAATTCATGTCAGTAAGATATTTTTGAAGTATTTTATTTCCCAGATATTTGACTACTTTGAACTAGTTGTTCCAGTGATTAGTCTCAATTTCTGCTGAAACTTAAGTCTTTAATGAGGACGTGCTTCTGAAAATAAGGCAATTTTTCTACAATCTGCTCATGAATAGAAAACAAATCTTTGGTTTTTATAGGGTGGCAGGAAGGATTGAGTGCAAAAAGAAGTACTAAGGAATCAAAGCAATGAAAAGGCTCTTAATAAGCAATGGGAAACTCCAAACCCCATCAAGGTCAATAGAGTACCTAAGGCACCTCAGGTTCAGATGATACAATCATCTTTGCTTAGAGTTCTAATAATCTATATACAGGATTTTTACCATCTTAATGTGCAGCTGAAAAGGTAATGTCCAACAATGAATACTGTGAATAAGAAAGAAGAGAATCATAAGAGTTGATAAATGGGAGAGATGTTGGAGGTCCTCTCGTTCTACCTCCCATGTTTATAGATGAAGAAACTGAGGCCCAGGCAGGAAACAGTGACACCAGAGTTTGTGTTTCCGGATTCCTAGTCCATTTCTCGTAGGGCATATCAAATTCTAGACTTTAATTGGCTAGTAAACCAAGTATGAAAAGCTTCAGAGGTGAATTTGAAGAAAAAAAAAAGTCCCCATCAAATCCCCAAAGGCCAGTTGGAAACGTATAATACTTTACTGTCTTAATTCCTTTATACCATGTGTTGGACAACTTAGTTAATATACTAATTGACTTACGCAATTCCTTTCAGTTGTATCTAAAAATAGCTAATAATTAACCGACCCAAATTAAATGAGAAAGTTACATAAAGATTCTGTTTGAACACACATAAGGCCATGGTACTTAATATGAACCATCACTTTTTGGGAGAAGGAAGACATCCACTGTCCAGTTCGGAGAGAAAGATCCTGACTAGTTATCCAGTAGACTTTCCACTCTTCAGTGGGGAAGATGATGCTTATATTTTTAAAAATCTCTACAAAGCTCACATACAAGACAGTACATCCTAGATTTGTGACTGATACGAGCATTTAAGGCTGTCATTTTCAAGTATAAAAGTTTAGTGTTCCATTACCCAATCTGTGCAATAGACACAGCGATTAGCTCAAGTCATGGAAATTAACAGAAGCTTACCAAAGACATAAATAAATCATAATTTAGTCAACAGCAAGTTTAAATGTAGGAAAGGCTGGAGAAAAATTTATGGGTTAGATTATGCTTCTCTGAACTGCATTAATTTGTTCACATTGTAACTTTATCTAACACTATTGTCTGTTGCATGGCATTTGGAACAAGGCAGATCCAGTAGCAGACCAAACAAGGAAGCTTAATTAGGTTACAGAACTAGTAATTAAGATGGTTCACCTCTAACACAGTTCTATGGCCTGATCCCCCAAAGAAAGATTAGAAAAGGCTCCAGTATACCAAATAAGCTTCACAGATGAACATAATTTTTTTTTTTTTTTTTAAAGCAGGGCCTTTCACCTAGGGACTAGCATGCACTGCTTGTGGATGAAAGAAATCAACATTATTTACTTCTGGCTTGCTTGATGTAATATTGCAAAATGTAGTATGGCTGGAGAAAATGGGTATTTAGAAGCCAGTATTTCATTTAACTGACACTCTAGTTGTGTACATAAGTTGTAGTTCTAGAACTTCTGCTATGGTTCCAATACCTGTGTCTGAAAGGTAACATCAGTATTACTATGGAAGCAGTTGCTTTGTTATAAATTCCATGTAACATGCTCGAATTCTAGGTCTGTTCTCTTTAGCACTATTTAAAGTTTCTTGTAGTTTGGTCAGCATACACACGTCTCATGTCATCTGATTATATAAGCCAAGGTGGAAATTAAAAGACAAAATTGCCAGCTACTTCAGACAGCTATATCGAGTCCAGGATTATGACAAAGTCTGACCCAGAATTTTAATTTGTAATTTTAGGGTGTATCTCATGCAGTTTGGGGAGCATCAAACTAAATCTACAGTCGCCAGAAGCCTTGTTACAGTCGAATGTACATTAACTAGAATGTGTACATTTTTAGTGTTCATGATAAATGCAGTTATGACCTTATTACACTTTTGGCATTCTTTAAGAAAGCACATTAAGCTTTAATATAGAAATATTTAGGTTACACTTAACTTGTGCTCAAGTAATAATAAAACAGTTATTCTTTTTTGATCTCATACATTCTCTCCTCAGGTATGGCCCATCTCCTGTACGCTTGGAGCGACCTTTGGCTACGTGGCTGGCCTTGTGATTTCACCACTCTGGATATACTGGAATAGAAAGCAACTTACATACAAGAACAATTAATTGGAGCAAAGGGAGAAGATACTTCATTGTGCAGATTCCATAAAGACTGTGCAGAAATGTACATGGTCTAAGCCAGGCAGTTCCATTTACAGCACTGTTTTTTATGTAGTTACAACATGGTGTGATTGTAGCTTTTTAAACTATGAAACCCCTGAGATTGTACCTTCTAGTTGAAATAAAGTATTTATAGTAGATTGTGGCGTCAGATGCTGTTTGCTGCTTCTTGGACCTTTAAGAAACATTCTTAATGAATTTTATAGAATTCTGAGGACAGGTTTTGTTTTTGTTTTTTTTTTTTCAAGTTTTAAACTGCTTCATTATTTATAAGAGGTCTGGGTATAGCTGTAGCATTTCATATGCTCTTTGAGAGAAATGGACAGTTTCCTTGGCCACTGAAGAGGTTTCTCACGTAATCAAACAACAGTTTATACACCTTGATCCTATTCTTTTTTTTACTGTGTGTTTCTTTGGAGTTAAAATGGCTATGATAGCCTCATCAAAAACAGTCTTCAATCCCTTCTGGGTTAAAGCCGAACATTCCACATAGCAGCATGCTCCTATCTGGGAGGGAGAAAAAGAAATCACAAACATATAAAATCTTTTTTTACACAGTTGGTATGACACAACACCCCATTATAAGGAAGATGAGAAAACACAGCTATGCAGAAGGAATGAAATCAGCATCCATATTCATAAAAACCCAGAGACAGCCAACTAAAAACTAAGTGTATATCCTTCCACACTTATTTTATGAAAATTAATGTCATTCATCAAGTATTTACCGGTTACCTACCATATGCCAAGCACTGTTTTAGGTGCTGGAGATAATGTCAAGGAACTGAACAAAAGACCGAAGTGCCCGCTCTGTGATGCTTATATTTGCTTAAATCCTACCGGGGGAGGGGCCCACCAAGGAAACAGAGAGCAGATGGTGGTGTGCACTTGGGAGCACAGAGCGGGGGAGATGGGGAGTGCACAGGACACAGGTGGGAAGCTTCTCAACAAAGTGGTGTGAGCAGTGAGCGCCACGGAGGGGAAAAGTTTCCAGGCAGACAGAGCCCTAGGTGGGAAGATGCTGAGGCAGGAGCATGAGTGGAGTGTTCAGGGAATGGTAAGGAAGCCAGAACGGCGGGAGAGAGGGAACAGCAAGCCGTGAGGCAGATGGTGAGGCAGCCCTGAGGCGGGGATACGGACTTGGGCTTCTACTCTAGGCGAGGCTCCATTCATTCATTCACTGGAAATTGAGCATTCTTATTTTGCCAAATGAGAGTATATAGCAGGGAACAAAATTAAGTCTCCCCGACTCTCAGGAAGCTTACATTTTAGAGGGAGAAGACCACCGCGAGCTACTAGAGGTAGAATGTCAGGAGGGAATACGTGGTCTAGGGAAGGAAGATAGATAGGGAGTGGGGACAAGATCAGGCAGGGTCTCACTGAGAAAGTGATATCTGAGCAGAGACCTAGACGGAGTGAGAAAATAATGTTCCATAGGGAAGAACACTCCAGGCAGAGGGAGGGGCAGAAGTACAAAGACCCCGAGGTACGAGACTCTGGGGACACAGCAAGGAGGCCATGTGCCTAGACTACGATCAGTGAGGGCGGGACATAGCAGGGTTCTCTACGCCCCGGTAAGGGCTCTGGCCCTCTGTGACTGGCTGGGGAACAGAGCAGTGACCTGATGGAGCTTGTATTTTTAAAGACTCACTCAGGCTGCTGCGTTGAGAACAGACTGACATGGGGTCACAGACAGAAGCAGAAAGGTGAGTCAGAGCTGTTCCGGTAATCCAGGCCAGAGAGAGGGGGGCCTGACCAGCCTGTTAGAGGAGCGGCTGGTGAGGAGCCTGCGGATGCCGGATGGATTGTGAAGGTAGGACAAGAGCTTCTGCCGCACGGCTGCCTGCACAGGAGGAGAGCGAGAGCAAAGTCGAGCGTGACTTCAGGGTTTTTGAGCTGAGTAACTGGGAGGACAGGCACGGAGGAGAAGATTAGGAATTCTGTTTTGGACATGTTAATTTTTAGATGCTTAGCCACCCAGATGGACTTGTTGGGTGAAGAGCTGGATAACCGAGTCCAGAGTTTAGGGAAGCGGTCAGGCTGGAGATAGAAACTCGGGTATCTTCAGTGGCAGACTTTTCAAACCACAAGACCGACCAGCTCACCTGGGCCTGGTGAGGGTGGCTGCAGAAGAGATGTTCCAGAAGCCGCATGCTGATCCCTGGGCATCCAGCATGCAGAGACAGGGACTTGAGACACGGAGGAGAGGCCATTGCCAGGGGACAGAACCAGGAGAGGGCAAGCAAGGGGGCCGGGCGAAAGTACTTTAAGGAGGAACCCAGGAACCCACTGCCCCAAATGCTGCCAACAGGCCTCCAAATGGGATCCTAGTGTTCTGCAACCACTTTTTTCCCCCTTAAACTACATAATAAATATAAACATCTCAATAGCTGTGTTAGTATAAATTTTTAATAGGTGTGGGGGCTTTTTCTTTTTTTTTTTTTGGCCTTTATAAACAATGCAGCAACTTTGTAGCCATCTCTTTAAGCACATCTGTAATAATTATTTTAAGATAAATTCCTACATATGGAATTGCCTGATCAAAAGTGTGCATGACTTTAAGGCTTTTGCCTATTATCAAGATGGCTTTTACTCAATGATCAACGATACGAGAGAGTGCCCATTTCCTTGCACCCCTGGAACAGTGGCTATTATAATTAATTTCTTTTTCTTTTTTTTTGCCAATTTTATAGGCGGAAATTGAACTTGCATTTGACAACGAAGGACTTAGAACATATTTCCTATATTCAATGGCAATCTGTATTTTTGGTAAATTTTCCATTAATGTTCTTAGCCCATTTTTCTACTGGGGTACACAGGTCTTTTTCTGATTAATTTATATGTAAGGAACTCCTGCATACTAAGATATTAACCCATTTTTTCAGCCACACATGTCAAGTTTGTTTTATGACTTTCAATTGTATCTCTGGCATTTGATGTATCAAATTTTTATGTAGTTAAATCACCAAGATTTTCATTTACCAATTTTACCTCTATGACATTTTAGAAATCCCTTTCTCTCCCTGAGATTATGAAACTGAATGCACGGAATTTCTAAAGCGATTTGTGAGTGAAGCTATTTGTCTTTTGTCTTAGGAAAAACTGTTCTCCAAAAAGCTTTCTCACTTTCTTCTGCCTCCTGATAGTACATTTAAAAAGACCTTATTAGATTCTGTTTCCACAAAGGTCCTATTAAAGTCACATCTAAAAAAATAGAATCCAATAATGTTAGGGGGCAGAGAGAAAAGTAAGCCTAGCTTCAGGGCGAGGGAGAACAGAAGTTAAAAGCTTTATGCACATCACAGTGGTGTATTTTTTAGAATGCTAGTATTTTCTATCTTTCATAAAAGGATTGGAAGAAAATTCAACACAGTTCTTTTCAAACCTAGCCATCATTTTTTGGTTTTAGCTGCAGATTTAAACTCATCCTATATGCCATTCTACCACCTACTCCAGGAGTCTTAACTGAAGACAGAGTCTGCTTTGGCACAGTATAAACATTTAAGAGATTTAAAAGGGCTTTTTCTGACGCCTCTTTCTACAGGTAACTTAAGAGGAAAATACTGTTGGCAGCTGTGCGTGCCTGGGCTCTGCGGTCAGGTCTTCCCTGCAACCCAGCTCTGCCATTTATTACGGACGGGACCTGACAAGTTATCTGACATCGCCAAGCCCTCGTTTGTTGTAGTCAGACCCGTGCGAGCAGGTGCAAGGATTAAATGAGATAATGCACGCACAGCACTCAAACAATGCCTGGCATAGAGTAAATGCACAATCAGTGTCAGCTTCTATTACTACCCAAGCTGCTTTTACGTTTATTTTTACATTCTGTTAAGGTTCCATTACCTCTTTTGCTAGTTTCTGTCCTTGTTCCACACAAATGGGTTTTTCTTTCATATCATTCAGTCTTGCTAAAGTTTTGGGGTCATCTCGGAGATCAATCTAATCAAGAAAGGTCAATAATGTCCCGTAATGTTACAAGTCTTTAAAGATAAATCAAACATGGAGTCCCATTTAATCCCCCATACCCAAAAAAGATTAAACAAATGAACTTCACTTTCAAAACCAGTTTTGGCACTACTTTTACCAAATTATTATTTTTCTATAATAAATAGAATTTATTATAATTTGCAACTGAGATTAAACATGCATATCTTTTGCTAAAACTTAAGACTATGTGTCTGAAAGCAACACCACAAGATGGGCCAAAGAGACTCTTCTTAAATGGGTAAAATTAAAGCAGACGTACCTGAGTTCCTATTAATAAAAAGGGTACATTTGGTGCGTATTCCTTAAGTTCCGGTACCCACTCCTCTTTCACATTTTGAAATGAGGCTGGATTTACCACAGAGAAGCATATAAGGAAGACATCTGTCATTGGATAAGATAAAGGCCTCAGACGATCATAGTCCTCCTAAGGAAGAGAGAAAAACCTCATTATTCCCATCTCTTTAGTTGACTAATAACAGGTGCGTAAGGTTACATGGTCGAAGAAGCAAAGTCAAGAGAATTCCACAAACAGAACGTGCGGCACTCTACACGAAACAAGATAATTCCATTTGTGTTTGTTATTCTTCCTTTTGAGATTACCAGTGGGCTAAGAGAATGAAAATACCATTAACAACCACAAGGAAACTTGGAGAAAATACATCGTGATTACTAAAGCTGTCACTAGAAACATTTTAAACCGAGACGTTTGCACAAAGAACTGATTAAAGCTGCAAGTCGTCTGACTAGTCTAATTTATAATGACTAACAGATGCTGAATGTTTGCTGTGTGCCGGGTCGTGATCCAGACACTCTCCCCTGCATTCCTTATTTCATCCTCCTAACAGCTACATGATAGGACTATTATCCCTGTTTTCCGCTGGAGGAAAAGGAGGCACAGAAGTTAAATAACCTGTGTAAACATGTACAGCCAGTAGAAAGGAGACGGGACTCGAACCCTGACAGTTTCACTCCAGAACCTACACCATAACCACTACACATTTCACGGAGACCTTAAATCGCTGCTTTCCCTGTTGATACTGTTTTCTTAATTACGCGTGCGTGCAAGTTTAAAGACAGAAACATAAAGAGTAAATGCACAAAAATCCCCCTTTCCTCTTTAATTTCCATTCCCTTCCCCAAATGTAGGTCTTTTCAGGTGTACCTTCTCAGTTCTTTTCTTTGCATCTATAAGCCTACAACTGTACATATTCAAACATCTATACATAGAAGAGATCAAGCGATCCATGTTGTTTTGCACCCCTCAGTATCTCCTGGAGAGCTTTCCAAACGAGAATATGTAAGACTACTATCTAATTTTATTTTTTTTTAAAGATTTATTCATTTTAGAGAGGGAGAGAGAGTGGGGGGAGGAGCAAAGGGAGAGAGAGAGAGAAGCTGACTGCCCCCTGAGCGCAGAGCCCAACTGGGGGCTCGATCTCATGACCCTGAGATCATGACCTAAGCTGAAAACAAGAGTCGGACGCTTCACCGACTGAGCCACCCAGGTGCCCCTGGCTTACTATATAATTTTAAACTGCTGCTTTGAATTCCACAGAAGGGCCGTCCTATTGATGGCTGTTTCAGGATCTCTCCATCACAAAAGGCAGAAGATTCTATTTTGCTTAGACTACTTTCTACAACACAAATATTCTGCTTATTTCCATTCTGGTGAGTGAACAGTCAGGACTCCATTTTTCTCGTGGTTAGATTCTCCTCTGGTTTCAGGGAAGCTTTATTCTTTGCCTCGGGCCACCACCCCTTCACAACTAAAACTGCATGAATGCAGAACTGAAGGACTATTAAAAATACCTTCCGCTCACGGTTTAGCTGTAGCATTTCCCTCATGGGGCAACTTTCCTTTCATGTCATCTTCCGACATTTTTCTTTTTCTTTAAGATTTTATTTATTTAAGAGAGAGAGAGCACGAGTGGGCTAGGAGCAGAGGGAGAGGGAGAAGCAGACTCCCCGAGAAGCAGGGAGCCTGACTCGGGGCTCGATCCCAGGACCCTGGGATCATGACCTGAGCCGAAGGCAGATGCTTAAAGACTGAGCCAACCAGTCTCAAACTCTTGACTTGGGAGTTAACCCTTCTGTTTCCCTCTGACGCTTTCAAAAAGCATAATTGCAGTCTGGAGCCGGGGGCAGTGGAAGGTTTCTCAGGTGCTGGCTATAACAGGACAAGAGGGGAAATGCCATCCCCAATCTTCTTTGCCTTTTATTTTTATTAATTTATTAAAGATTTTATTTATTTGACAGAGAGACACAGAGAGAGAGGGAACACATGCAGGGGGAGAGGGAGAGGAAGCAGCAGGCTTCCCGCTGAGCAGGGAGCCCGATGCGGGGCTCGATCCCAGGACCCAGGGATCATGACCCGAGCCAAAGGCAGACGCTTAACTGAGCCACCCAGGCGCCCCTGCCCTTTATTTTTAAACCAGGGGCCCTCTAACTGGTTTTGAAGAAAGCAGTGCTCTGGCATTGATGCATGGCGTTAATTAATGAAGAAATCAGGTAGCGTGCGTGTAGAACACATTGTACCCCAGCCAGTTACTTTAAGAGGGCTACCATGAAAAAATGTAACACGTTTCTACAATTTAGTTTGAGTGTTATGCAGTAGGATGGGTGCGTGGAATAAATAACGGCCATGAGAGGAAGCAGGGACAGCACCCATCTTAGCATTCTACCTGGCAACTCTAGGTTCCTGAGCAAACGTGTGCTCAGCGTGGCCAGGCAATGAATAGGTGGGTGCTCTTGTTAAAAATCTCTCATCCATAATTAAATAGCCCATTTTCACAGAATGAGAAATGAGGATACTATCTCAGGATTCTGAGGAATAAATGAAATCATGCAACAAAAGCATTCGGCATCGTGCCAGGCACATGCAAAGAATTCTCCTGGTGCTTAAACATAAATCCTTCATCCCACAGGAAACTGATTCCCTTTTTCCTCTGCAAATCCACGCAGGGTCCCCTCTGTCTCACACCAGGGCTGGCTTCGCAGCTCTCTCCCACCACAGAGAAGAAACTCTTTTGTGAGAAATAACATTTTCTGCACTGGTATCAAAATACACCAATCAAACAGGTCTCTTGAGGACAGTATAATTTTCAGATCAATGAAAGAGAATGCTATATTATCATTGTACTAATTAGTCATTTTGGAACTCAAGAGCCTGAAGGCTATTTGAAATGTAACCAATAAATAAATAATCAAATTAGATTTTTTAATGAAAATTTTACTTTTCAAGCAAATTTACCTCATCAGAGAAATAGAATGTGCACTCTTTCTCTAGAAGGGGATTAGAAGAAATAAAGAGTAAGCGAATGCAAAGCCCTCTAGAAATGCTTAATAACATTAACACAAATACTCCATAGAACATAGGTCTGTTGTACAGATCCCTTTCATAACCATAACTCACATAGACTTTCCTCAATGAGAGACACGCGGGCACATAGGAAGGAAATTAGACCAGTCATTTCTAGACACTTGTAAAATTGCAGATTTTGTTGGAATAATTAAACTGTGATGGACTGAGGTTATAACAAAAACAAAGACAAGTATATTTAGAACTCCTTGGAAGGCAATGTTACTTCTTATATCTGAACTATCGAAAATGAACTACTGCCTCTCATCTGCGGCTAAATAATTGGCAGTTATTATATGAAGGAGACCTTTCTGCTTCTATTCAGCCTGAGTAATTAGAAATCCAATCATAGATAGCAAAGTAAAAAAAAATAAATTCTCCCCTGTGCATGCTGTACCCTGCGTCACGGTATGACACTGTTTATGGCCACCGTGCGGGATCTTGGGTGAACTCAAGGTGCAATGAAGATTTGGGAGGAAAATAGGCTGAAGCATACAGCACCTTTCACCTCCAGCTTTACTTCTGAAATTTGGTGACACAAAGAAAGCTGAATATGGAACAACAGCCCTTACTTTTATTTTTTAAATTTTTTTTAAGATTTCATTTATTTATTTGACAGAGAGACACAGCGAGAGAGGGACACAAGCAGGGGGAGTGGGAGAGGGAGAAGCAGGCTTCACGCAGAGCAGGGAGCCCGATGTGGGGCTCGATCCCAGGACTCCGGGATCATGACCTGAGCCGAAGGCAGACGCTTAACGACTGAGCCACCCAGGCGCCCAGATTATATCTGATTTGTAAGACACCTTATTACATGTGCAAAGCTCTCTCATATTTGTATGTCCAAAACAAGGCAGTGGTGTGCATGACGTGCCTGTGGGCCTCACCAGTGCCTTGGGGACCTCAAGGCCACAGCCTAGAAGACGACATCGGGGTGCTGGTGTGGCCACAGGCAGAAGTCTGGCACCGAAGAGGAAGAATCTGATAGGTGGGGAAAGACACAACATTTCTAACAGTCTCTGCTCAGAGGGGGTTTATGGCAAGAGAGACAAACATAGGCGAACACTTTATCACAAGTCAGAACGGGGTAAATACTAAGAGTTACAGTAATGAGGGGATGCTAAGAAAAGACTCAGAAGAGGCAGTATTTAGTCGTGCCCTACTAAATGGAAAGGTACAGATACGACCTGCCAGCCACGTGGCTTTGGTCAACTCACTTCTTTCTTAGAGGCTTAGTGTCTCTGCCACAAACTGGGAGAATGTCAGGGACAAATGCTTTGAAGGCTATAAAGTGCTCTAAGAACGTCTTACACCGCCAAAGAATCCAGGATGTTAGTTCAACTGAGGAAATAGTCATTTATCAATGACTACGAGAGTCTTCCTCTGTACACAACCTACGATCAGAAAAAGCAGGACCAGAGCAGAGAATTCTTTAACAGACAAGCCCCAGGGGACGCCCTGGTGGCTCAGTCGGTTAGCGGCTGCCTTAGGCTCACTCGGGTCATGATCCCAGCGCCCTGCGATCGAGTCCCACATCGGGCTCCTTGCTCAGCCTGCTTCTCCCTCTGCCTGTGCTCGCTCTGTCAAATAAATAAAATCTTAAAAACAAACAAACAAACAAAAACAGACAAGCCCCAGATGTCCGAAGTCTAGACCAGCTTCTGACTCCTTTATGAGATAGATAAAACGTAAGACAACCAAGTAAGAACGGCCCTTACGACTGGTGGCTTATGGAACGTGAAGGGGCAACTCTGTCACTTCCAAAGCACATAGTAGCAACCTCTATCCAAACATGTGTTTCTACGAAGAAGCCCAAAATAGGTATCAGGCCTGGCTCTGGGAACACTCCACCCCGCAAAGGGCGCTCTCCCAAATCCGAGAGGCCACGTGCACTGCAGCTAGCTTCTGAAGATGAAAAGTGTTTTGTGAGAAATCCAACTTAGAACCACTTCTGCGGTAATTCTCCGTAATAGTAGTCTGTGAAGCCCCGTCTCCTTTGTGTAGTTTTTGGGTCACCTTTTGAGCTCATTTTGCATTTAACTCTGTGAAATGAAAACATCATTTTTTAGCCCCCCCACCCCGAAAATAACTGTCTTTCAAGGAAGCTGGGTTGGGTCCCTTTGGGGAGCATTTTGTTAAGTTGGTTCAACAAGCATCAGTGATGAGTTTATTGAATTCGCCCCCCTCTCCTTAAACTAAAGAGCACTGGGGAAGGAGAAAGAATTTTGTTAAAGGGCTATAAATTCCTAAGAGGTCAATGTTTTCAAAAGGTTTCCAAATATTTGGCTT